ATGTTGCTTGATAACTTGTGAGATAATTGCTATTTTATTTTATAAATTCACATACGAAATATTCAGTAGCTTATAGACATGTGCATTCAGTTGCTAATAAGCATTCTTTATTTTATATGGAATTAGACTCGTATATATTGAACATGATTCTGACTATAATTTAGTTTAAGAAAATTATAAATTCATTAATAATGCATGCTGCGTTTTGACGGTGAAGATCAAGTATTTGACGTTACCAAAGTAACCTCTCTTATATAAGATTTTTTCTTGATAACGTAAGTGTTTATGTGTATTTTAATTCATGTGATTATTCTTCGGCCCAAAGGCAGTCGGAAATTGACAGAATGAAATATACATCTGCGATACTATATATGAGATAATTATATGGATTTAACTTATGTGAATAGTAAATCAGTCCAAAGATTGGTTGCTGTTTGACATTACTTATTGTCCGTATATGATTATTGCAACAAGATGACTGCTAGCAATCAACGTTATTGATCCAAAGATTAATCATTGATTTTGCACTTAGTGTCTTGGGATGAGAATGCATTATTATTGAGCTTCATTATGATTCATTTGGTTGCATGAATCATGACTTCGCATTAATAATAGACCAACTCACTCATACGGCGAAAAACACTGCTCATGAAAGACAATTGTTTGAGAAGTAGGATAGGTCCAATGCCTACGTCTAATCATCATTAAGAAAAGCACTCCATAATTTTTTAGGAGTACAATATATGATGATATGAATTCCTTGTCGAAATTAAGAAACGGTTTACGAAAAGCGATAAGGCAGAAATGCGTACTCTTCTTAAGAGTCTCATTACCATGAAATATAACGACAAAGGAAATATAAAGGAGTACATCCTAAACATGTCTAATATTGCTACTAAATTGAGGGCACTTAAGTTAGACATTTCGGATGATATGTTTGCCATATTAGTCTTGCTCTTGAAATTAATTTAATTTCAGTTCATAGACACGCCTGGGGGTGGTTTTGGTGTAACAACACACATTAGTGTGTCTATGCAAGATTATTTTATTGTCGAAATCAATTGATGTTGAAAGATACATCTATATGGGTGACGACAAGAATGTTAAAGCTGAAGTCATTGACAATTTTAGATTATTATTGAGTACTCGTTACTATTTGAATTTGGATGAGACATTTTTTATGGTACCATCTTTAGTCAAAATTTAATTTCGATCTCTATTTTGAGCAAATTTAGTTATTATTGTTCATTCGGATATAGAGTTTTGTCTCTTCCAAAATTCAAAATTCGTTAGAACTAGTACCTTATTTGATAATAATAATCATCAGTTGCTTAATTGTATGACTTTATATTATGAATTAGTTATTGAACATATTCATATAACTTCCACGATTACGGATCCGCTTAATTAGTAAAGGGCTTCCACATAAGTTCTATAGTGAGCATATTGCTTGTTTGAAAAGTGGAACCATATTTCGATACTTCGGTTTAGTGGGAGCTAATTAGTAGTGTTCAAATACTATTAAAGTTACTTTGGTTTACACTGCACAGTTCAGTATTCAATGTTCAATATTCAGTGTGCAGTATTCATTTTTAATTCAATGTTCAGTTGTTCTGAATTAAAGTTAAGGTGGATCAGTTGGAAATAGGCATCTTAAGATCACATTATATGAAATTTCCATGTTGTGCATCCGCACTTGATCGAATCTTAGGTTATATTAGTGTTGTGACCACTGATCGGTCCCATTGCGATAAATGCAGTAACGGCCTCTTTGATCCGCATTGACGTGACTTATAGATGAGATTGGTAATATACATTAAAGGATCTGATAGCAAATTTTTTCATGAGCTCATAAGGTTATTCAGTGTACATTTATCCAAGTGGGAGATTGTTGGATTAAAAATCCAATTGTGGGTTAAATGTAACTATTTAGGCTATCAGTCAGATTAAGCCTATATTAAGTGATCTATAAATTTATTGGGCTTAAATGTATTTAGTAAGTGCGGACCTCCAATGTGCAAAAATCCGGTAAATTATTAATTGGGTGATGAGGTCAATTAATAATAAGGGATATAAATAGGATTGTGATCCCAGGTCTAGACGCAACAACCATTACGTTCCATATCTCATCGTGGGAGTAACGGCAGAAACCCTGACGGTTTTCTCATGAGGGGTTACGCCGTAGGCTTGAAGAACACAAAACCCTCTATCAATTTGCAGATCTGAATCCGACTATGCTGAGGAATAATGTTAAATCTAATTTGCTTTATTCTTATCTCAATTATTATAACACGATAGATCCTGGGCTTTTGGTTAAATCACTGACAAGTTCCAACAGACACAATTAACAAGAAAGGGCTTCAAATTCTCACCGAAATTACTCACAAAAAATGAAAGAATATTACTGAAAAAACTCACTGAAAATTCATTGGACTCAAACTCACCACAATGCTCTTTCTATCCATCTCATGATTTTTTACACACACTAAAGAATAAGACTCACTCTTCAAAACTACCTCTAACTAAATACAATTAGATATTCTAACTAACCAAATATAGGATAAGAAAATGCAGAAGAGAATAAGATTTATTTGGGCCTATGGACCGGCTACAAAGTAAGCTAACTTTTTATTGTTATCGACCGAGTTGAGTTAGGCCATGAATGACCAATGATGTGTTCTTTTTGTAAAAAAACTCCACACCTTTTTCAAAAAAATAATATATTACACAAATTCATTATTTTTATATTCTCTACATAATTCTCTATGTTTCACATAAGAAAAATATTCATTCCAACTATTTTATAAAACAAACACACTCCAAAATTCTTAGCATTGTTCTCTTATTTTGGTTGTGATTTAACCAATTCTCAATTACACATATATACTTACTTACACCTAGGATGTATTCTTTTGGGGATATTCGAAAATTTTCACTATTTACCATTTTTTTTTCTCAAAATCATTAAATCAAATAATTATTTTTTATTTTATATATTATACTAAAAATTAATTTTACATTCAAAATATTACATCAATACCTATTTATATTACATCATACAACTATTCCAATTAAAAAATTTTACTATTTAAACTCCAATTCAAAATTCAAACTCCCAAACAAACACACCCCTAATGAGTTTCATATCGTCTTCACTACACTCACAAACAAACTATAATATAGAATAACATACCACACGTAAAACATATAGTTTTTAATATTCACTTATATTGAATACACATCAATTTACCACATAGAATACAAAATTACTACAATATCAATCAAAAACGCAAAAGAGTTTAAATAGAGTGAAAAAAGAAAAAAAATACATATTCTAAGTGAGTACATAGATTACTTTTGCAATCCAAGAACGCCAATGCATGTTCACAAAAGAAAGCACTTATATGCAAAATATAAAATTTAGAATAACAATAAGACCAATCCACCTTATTTGACGTCGACAAATGTGCACATAACTCTAGAATCTAAGAACAAAGCTCTACAATTCATGCACACAAGTCTTGCATCTCAAACACACAACATCACAAGTCAAACACAACGTCCTACGGCTCAAAACAAAATTATACCGCCTAAGCACAAAGCTCTAAACAAATAATTCTTATGCACAAAACTCTAGAATCCAATTTCAAAGCTTATTAGTTTAAGCACACAATTACAATCTAAACACAAAGTTCTACCTAGATACAAAAATCAATTGAATATTATCATAAAAATCTCCGGAGACACAACTGCACATTCTATCAATGAGGAACATAAATTAAGAATACATACTATGGGTGTGTTTGTTTGGGGTTTTGGATTTTGAGTTGGGATTTGAATAGTAAAAATTTTGAATTTGAATAGTGGTATGATGTGATATAAATAGGTGTTGATGTGATGTTTTAAATGTAAAATTGATTTTAGTATGATATAAAAAATGAAAAATAGGTGTTTGATTTGATATTTTTTGAAGAAAAAATGAGATGAATAGTGAATTTAAAATTCAATCCCAAACAAACACACCCTATATACACAGGCACAAAACCAACATTTCATGTTTTAATCATACAAAATAAACTAGTCCACAATAATCAATATCCAATCCATTAACACATATGATCACTAAAGATTCACGCTAATTTCTATTATATATAATTCATACAACTATTCATATTATGCATCAATATATTTTTAATCTCTCTATAATTAATTTTTTTTTGAGCAACACGTATCTATTTCTAACAATTAATTTTCAACAAATAAACAGAAAATTTGATTTCTAGTATTGACATTTTATTTACAAAGAATCTATTGAAAAAGTACTAATTCATAGTATAAATTCAAGAATTTAACACATATTTATTCTATAAAAAATGACTTGCAATGGAATAAATTATGAAATCATGTGTTTAAATTTTTGACATGTTACACATATTTTTAGGTTCAGCAATTTATCGAATTTTTTAAAATATAATTAAAATATGTAATTTATTTTTAAAAATTAAAATAAACAGAAAAATGTATGAGACCCATTGAAACTTCAATAAATATATATATGTATGAACTAGAGTATTGGGTGTGTTTTTTTTCTTTTTTTTTCTTTTAAAAAAATAAAACTATTAAATATATTTTTCAAAAAAATTAATATATTACACAAACTCATTATCTTTGTAGTATTATTTTTATATTTCACATAAAAAAATATTTCCAAAATTATTTTACGAAACAAGCCGACTTTGTTTACATTATACACTTTTACTCATTTGATATTATTTATTTTTACAAAATAAATATTTTTTCTCTCACAAGACATTATATCATATACTTCACTTTTTTACCCTTTTTTGAAAATTTGAAAAAAAAAAAAAAAAAAAAGAAAAGAAAAAAACATCAATCTAAACAACACACTCTTATTTTTGTGGTGGACTAATATTTATTGTTGTTTGGTGGTTAGTGTATAAAGAGAGTATGGTGTGTGACCTGTGTGTGTGGCCTCACTCTTCTTTATGTGCCTGTCTCCCCAAACTCCAACCCTTTTTCTCCTCTCTCTCTCTCCTCTCTCTCTCTCTCTCTCTGCAACAACCAGATCTCACTTCATCTGTCACTGCTGTACGCATCTCACATTCTCACTCACATTCTATTCTACTTTAGGGTTTCTACATTTCCTCTCCAAATATCCACCGTTTCCATTCCAATCTCCATCTCAATACTTAAAAAACCAAACAACAGTAATGCATGTTTGATGTTCCCCAGTGTTTTCTACGGCGTCGGTGCTACTGCTGAATTTCACAGTAGTTCGCGCCCAAGATCCGACAATGGCGATCGAGTCAGGATGAGGAACATCGCTGTGTTGCTGTAGACGTCTGCTAGAAAGTCTGCCCGCAGCTGGGAACACTCTGCTTCTGCCGACGAACTCCTCTCTTTTCTGGATGTAAGCCTTCTTCATCCAACCGACGAAAGCGATAGGGCACTGCTTTTATTTTCCTCTATAATGTTAGCGTTTGTGCTGGCCTTCGCTTCTATGGTAGAATCGCTAGCCGCATTGTGGTTTGAGCTTGTGAGGAACTTTACTTTATGTCATTGGCATGTTAGTTTGATCTTATCTACTGCATTTAGTGTGTATACATATTCACTTGTCTTTTGAAGTAGGTCTTTGATGATTCACTGTTCTTATGTGTAGAGCTGATGAAATTGAGTGTCTTAATATTGGTTTAGCATCATCCATGACATTTGATGGATAGGCTTATTAACTGATCCAGTGTCGGTACATTGCGAACAGTTTTGCCAATTTTCAAGTAACAGACCAAGTTGCACATTCTCTTTCTACCAACTTTGAATTTTGATTCAAATTTGTGTGCTGTTTTGATAGAGCCAAATGCTTGGGCATTCGGAAGTGCATCCTTATATAGCTTGACCGTATCAATACATCGTAACCGTGTCAAAAAGTCTTCACATGCATATAGGACTATAGTTATTTAGTTTCTTTTTTTGTCTTTTAGTTTCATGTCTCAATGCCTTGCACTTGCTCACAACTGTGCCCGAATTGTGTGTGTACTTACATTTTATACAATTTTCATAAGATCGATTGCAATGCTTTCCTTATTAAGATAGCATAGGGTTTGTAAGTTGTAGAATGTAAACACTTGATCAGAGGCCAAACTTCAGAAGTACTATCTTTTAAAGCTAACTGTGACTGCCACTTATATTTGGTAATAGTATAGTTGTAAATAATCAGAATCATGCTATTTTAATTGAATACATTAAATCTATTTGATTACTTTAAGAGTATTATTAAATGAAATTAACCCGTCCTATATTATTAATCTTGTTTTGGGAGCTTAAGGAGAGAATTATATGTATGATTTTCTATATTGTCGCTACATTTTATGTTTTCTTACAAATGTTAGTGGTCTACAAATTTATTTTAATAAGCAGGTATGTTTTTCTTTTCTTCAATTTTTGTTCTTTTGTGGATATTACATAAAGTTATCTGATGCAAGGTATTCAAATTTACTTTTTTAAAATAATAAGGGATTATGTGAAGATTTAAATGGAACGATAACAGATTCCTACAGCAGAGTTATATAAGGATAATTTAATTTGTGAATGGCCATTAGGCTTTCATAAACGTTAATTATACATACGCCCAACTTCTAGGCTGAATCACTTGTCTTAATGCCCGCTGCACTCCTAAACTCTTCGAGAATTTATTGTTACAGTACTTATTGCTACTAGTTTGCTACAGTCTTTCTTTGTCTCCTAAATGGTTTGATTCTTGTAAATTTGAGTGGAGGGTGCACATGTATAAATATATATGTAGGCTCTGGTGTGAGGAACAATGGGCAAGTTTGTAGGTGGAAAGGACACTGGATCAGGGGTTTTGGAACGCTCGTTGAAGCTATGGTCTTTGGTAATTGAGAGTGTGCGGTGTCGAGGAGGCCACCAAAGACGTGAGCAGAAGAAAGTCAAAGTGAAGAAGCACTCTGGATCAGAAAGGTTGTCAGAGCTTTTGAAGCAGCAGGAGTGGTGGGAAAATGGCGAGGAGCAGGAGGAGGTGAGGAAGAAAGAGCAGGTTCTAGAAGGGCTTAAGAAAGTGGCCAAGAAGTTGCAGCAGCAGATATCAATGGAGGAAATGTTGGAAGGTGCTACTGAGGTTAGGAAGCTGACCAAGGACAACCCACAGAGCAGGACTACTCTGGCACTGCTCGGCGTCATACCCCCGCTTGTCAGCATGCTTGATGATCAAGATCCCACCTTTGTTATTCAGATTGCTGCTCTTTATGCCTTGCTCAATCTTTCCATTGCCAATGATGCGTCAGTTTGCTTATCCTTTTACTTCTCCCACTCTCTCCCTCCCCCCATTCTCGTATGGATGCTAATCTTCACTCTTTTATCGTACAGGTGGTTTAACATAATCTAGAGTAGATTGTTGATTTGGATAGGGTATTATATACTGTTTACAACTTGAGTTGGGTTGGGAAGAAGGGTTTTTGTCCTGCTAGATTTCTTAAGGTTCTGATGATCCAATCTTGCTTCGGATGTCGATCATTTCAAATCTACCTAATTTTTCCGATGTTTTGCACTTGAAGAAAAGAAAAAGAACATATTATGATCATTTTGTTCATGCTTTGAAACTTCAACTTTGTGTTTGTTTGTTTCTTCTCAGGAACTATCCACTTGCTTAGCTTGCTAACTATAATTTTTTGGGAAGCTTTCAACATTTTGGGTATTTCTTGGACTGCACACTGAACTGCTTTCTTAGTTAATATGTGTGTGTATTTGTTATATGAGATATGATAATATCTCACATTGAATGTATTTACTGATTTGGATTTATGTGCGGAAACATTAACCCTGCACTTTTGGTAGTCATGACACTGCATCTGTTTCTGTTCGCGATTCTTTCTTTTCTGAATTCTTTTTTTTTTCCATTATACTGAAATAAGCTGTGCTTCTTCAGGAACAAGGCTGCCATTGTAAAAGCCGGTGCCATCCATAAAATGATAAAGCTCATTCAATCTCCAAACGAGGCGGCTAACCATCTGGCTCTCTCCGAAGCAGCAGTTGCCAATTTTCTCGGATTGAGTGCTCTGGACTCTAACAAACCCATCATCGGATCTTCTGGCGCAATCCCTTTTTTGGTGCACATCCTCAAAGATCTCGATAAAACTATTAGTCCTCAAGCTAAGCAGGATTCGATGCGAGCACTATGCAACCTCTCCATCTCTCCTCCAAACATTCATGTGATGCTAGAGACCGATGTGATCCCATATTTGTTCGCAAACCTTGCAGATATGGACTTAGGCGAGAGAATACTTTCTATCCTTAGCAATATTGTGTCTGTTCCAGAAGGCAGAAAAGCAATAAGCACCATCCCGGATGCATTCCCAATCCTCATAGACATTTTCAATTGGGTGGATTCCCCCGGATGCCAAGAAAAAGCATCTTATATCCTAATGGTGATGGCCCACAAGTCTTATGGAGATCGGCAGGCCATGGTTGATGCTGGAGTCGTTTCATCATTGCTTGAACTGACTCTTCTTGGTAGCACATTGGCCCAAAAAAGGGCCTCCCGGATATTGGAGTGCTTGAGGGTCGAAAAGGGTAAGCAAATCTGTGGAGGAGGATCAGCCTCGAATATCACACTGTCAGCTCCACTTTACGGGACGGACCGGCAGAAGCAGGCTCTGGAAGAGCAAGAGGAGGAACAGCATGAGGACGACGAGATGATGAGCCAAGAGAAGAAAGCGGTGAAGCAGTTGGTGCAACAGAGTTTGCAGAACAACATGAACAGGATGGTGAAGAGGGCTAATCTTCCCCATGATTTTGTTCCTTCCGATCATTTCAAGGCTGCTCTTGCCCCGAGTTCGACGTCTAAGAGCCTGCCGTTTTGAAGGTACTTGAATATTTATTTTATCTCTGTGTATCTATTATCATCATCGTTTTCCTTGGAATAATCCTGCAAAGTGAACATGGTGAAAAGGGTAGTAGGAGGTGTTTTGTGGCTATTATGAAGTTTGGGAAAGTATTATAAGTTTGTTGAGCAGTGACTTTTTTGGAGTATTTTATGGTAGTTTTGGTAATTGGTAAGTTTTTGGCTTTCTTCTTATATCTGTTTACTGAATCTAATAATTTGTAAATTAGGTTAAGCGTCGAACACCCTCCATCATTAGGCCACTTCTGGTTATTTTATTTTTTTTTTAATTATGATATGGTAATTCGCAATCATTCTTTGAGTGAGCCGATCGAACTTAATAATAAGTTTTTTTTTTATTATTATTATTATAATGTAGGAATCTATTGTCGTTAGATTGGGGTGATTCTATGGTTTTCATTCATAAAGATATCTTGGTATTTGGTTGTGTTTTGATTTTGGAAATATCGAAAATTTAATTAAATTGTTGGTATAAATAAACATTTGATATTATATGAATAGGATGTCTCATTTATGTTTTTAGAAGAAAGCACATCTATTATCTATATAACGAATTAGATAACTCATGCTAAGGCACAAGGCAATGGGGTGGATAGCTGATAACATGTCATCTTTGTTTGTTTGCTAATAGTCACGATTTTGGGGTTTTATTTTCGGCTTTTTTATTTGAATAATTACTTAAACGTGATATTGCGTGAAATAAAATACTGAAAATTTTGAAATTGATTCAAAATGAAGTATTAGATTTGAATTTTATTTAAATAATATTTTGATAAGATATTTTATGAGAAAAAATAGTTTAAACTCACAAAAGAACAACTCCATTTAATTTTAATTTTACTTTCGAAATGACATTTAAAATATACTTCTTCCGTTTTAGCTAATTTGTCCATTTTAAAACGAGGGAGTACCAAAGTAGAAAAAGTTGACAGATTATTTGGGACGGATGAAGTAGTAATTTCTAATTCAGATGTCCATTGGGTGCTGAATGTTATATATTTTCTCGTTTTTCCATTTACCAAATTCACATGTAAAGTATATAGGTAGTGTTATTTTGACAATTAGTGAACTATTTCTTGTTTATAAATATAAGATAATAAAATGATGTGATATTTTATTTAACATATATATTTTCGTTTCTAATTCAATTTTTATCATTTTTATTATTTTCTTATGTCCTACTCAAAAATATAAAAATATTTTACACATTTTCACTTACTAATACAATTTTATTATTTCTTAATTTATTACAAAATTTTAAAAATACATCTAGAATGACGTATATATATATTTTTATTAAAGACAAAGGTGTTAGGTATTACAATGGCCTAAATTTGTGCAGCATGCACCCACATTAAAATTATTTTCAAAAGTTTGAGTATATTTTAATGAAGAAAGTATTATTAATTTTGTTTAGAAGTTAAAGCCAAATACACACGTTTCTTTAGTAAAAATTAAAAAATAAAATAAAAAATAATAATTTGAATTTGATATTTAATAAGATATTTTGTAAAAAAAATATATAGGGAAAAAATCAATTTTGGTCCCAATATAATCAAAATTAATCCCAATATAAAAAATTCATCAATTTTGGTCCCAATATAACTAAAATTTATCAATTTTGGTCTCAATATAAAAAACTCATCAATTTTGGCCTCAATATAAACAATTTCAATCAATTTTGGTCCCATTATAAATAATTTTTATCAATTTTGGTTCCACCGTTAAAAAACTAACGGAAATTGCTGACGTGGACAAAACGGAGATGACGTGGCAGTTGACCTAGAAAGTACACGGCCATATACAATTATACACGGCCATATACAATTATACAAGGCCATGTAATAACATGACCATGTATATTTCAGTTTATAATTATACACGGCCATATACAATTATACACGGCCATGTTACATGGCCATGTATATTTCAGTGTATAATTATATATGGCCATGTTGGTACAATTATACACGGCCATGTTGTTACATGACCATGTATATTTCAGTGTATAATTATTCGTGACCATGTTCTTACAATAGTTGTTTAATGTGATATAAATAGCCGTTGATGCTATATTTTTCAATGTAAAATAAATTTGTAATATAATATAAAAAAAAATTGTTTGATTTGATATTTTTAGAGAGAAATAAGAATTTGAATAGTAAAAACCTGTATTAAAACTCACAAAAGAACACAATCCAATCCAAGTGTTTGATTTGATGACTTAAAAAGAAAAAATAATAATAATAATAATTAGTGTAAACCGAAACTAAAATCAAAACCAAAACCAAACTTAAGCAACAGACCCTAATATTCACTGCTTCAACTAACACATTCATATACACTTATGTTATTTATATATGTAAATGTAGTGTCCATATACATATATCATTTCCCAAGAACCAATCCTGTACACATTTCTTTTTTCAATTCAAGATCAAAGAAATATAATCCTTAATTAAATTACTTACACAATTTTCAGACTTCTATTGTATTACAAATGTTAGATTTAGCTGTCTACTGTGTTATCACTTCATAGCTTGAAATCTATAGTCGAGGCTTCACAGCATAAGCATAATAAGTAAGACTTTTTTAACTATAAAGAATCAAGTAAAACCAAATGAAAGTTACCCTTGCTTGGTCGACTCAAGGAAGAAGAAGAACATTCGACAATATGAAGGATTAAAGCATATATGTATATCTATTTAGATGCTTAGCTTTTAGAGAGTTTAGTTGAAGGATTTGATTCTCAAGGATAATGAAGTTACAAGAGAAAATCTCCACAGCGTCGATTTGCTACCAAGAAGTGTTTCTGAGTTCAGAACAATTTGTTATCACTCAAAGCAAATGCATGCAGCAATGGTTACAAATTACTATTGTATCTAACCAGGGGTGGGGGTTTCTTTTTGTCATAATCAACTCAAACTTCAAATTTTCACAAAGTACAATTTATTATTTACCCCTTGCCAATCCAGAGAGGTAACACAAAATTCCAAGTCAAATTGAAATTGCTTTCTCCAAGCATTATCAAAGGAGACTCAAATGCAAAATTGAATACCTTATCAAACTTCCTGAGGTTCAAATGGTAGGCAGAATGGGACAAATACCAGCTGCTAACAGTCGAAATTCGAATCTAACTAACATTATAGTATGAATCCAGAATAGCATCAGCAAGGTACTCACATTTGGCTGCAGATAATCCAGCTAAGGATATCCTCCCATCCTTGGTCATATATATGTGCCACTTGTTCGTCATGTTCTCACTCTGTTTCAGACCAATAGCAGAGAAAAATGCCGTCAGGATCTCATTAAATTAATTCAGCATTTCCAAATGTTTAACATGGCTAAATATTTATATATTCATCTTGCAAATAAATGAATAGGTAAACCAACCCAGTGTCGGGGAGTAAAAATACCGTTGTTTTTCAGGATACACGAAGAGATTATATGGGTACTTATTTTCAAAAAGAAAGGCTTTAGAAATATGCTACGTATATGTACATATATATCAGAGGAAATGATCATATCTATTTAAGTACAACTTATTCGTACATACCTGAGCTTTGCTGAGGCCAGTAAATGAAAACATTCCGATCTGTTTGAGGATAAAAGACCAGTCTTTCTGGTTGTTATCCTTTGCGGTCAGATTATCATGTAGTTTCTGTCTAACACTCTTTATCCTTCCAGCCATCAATTCCATCTCTTCTTTCCATTCATTAAAGAGCTCGGGATTCCCAACAACGTGAGCAACAACCCTTGCTCCATGTACAGGAGGATTTGAGTACATTGGCCTAGCCAGCCTTTTCAATTGGCTTTTCACCCTGCACAACCAGCATGAGTCATCCCCAGCGTTTCTATAACTAGTAATTCGAAATAATTGTGATTGAAGCAAATCCCCCAACATGAAGAGAGAGAGAGAGACCAGAATATGGTGTCTGCTAATTTCAACCCCAGATTTTTCCTTCTCACGAGAGTGTTCTTCCAGATTAATCATAAGAATTAGTAACATTGCTATGCTAATAGGTATTAGCCTGTACAGCTATGTTTCATCAAGTTATCAACTAGACTTAAGTTCAAACTTCAAAGCCTACTTAAATTGAGAATGGAATAATCAAAACTCAATTTTCCATAATGTCAAGCCAGTGAAGTAAACAATAACATCCCAAAGATATGCAATTGCTCATACTGGGTTATTTTGTCCATTTCAAATGTGTAGAAATCCTAATAGCGATCTAAATTTTGCAAAATCAAAGCATAATACTCCCCCCTCCCCCCCCCCCCCCCCCCCCCATATACCCTTGAAATTTAACACAAAAATACAAAACATCAACAATACAAGAATTGCACTTTTGTTATTACCTTAGTGCAATATCAGATGACAAGCAAACAACGTTGATTGCTCCAATCCTTTCAGCGTATAGACCCAAATTCTTACTGTAAGACTGAGCTATGAAAACCTCCATGCCTCGGGCAACAAATAACCTCACAGATGATGCATCTTTATCCAGATTTCCACTTGCAAAACCCTACACTCAAATCGGGAACAACATAAAAGTGCCTATTAAAATTTTAGCTTGATATCAATTTAGTTACAAAATTTTGGAATTTCTTCTTGTGGTGGGCCGGTGGAAAAAGTATAAAAACATGAATAGAAACACTGCCTGAGTGACTAATATTCTAAGTCACACGCAAAGCCAATAAAACCATCAAAAATATGAGACATACCTGGTACGCAACATCAAAGAATGGTATGTGGTTCTTCTCCTGAATGACATCAGCAATTTTTTCCCATTGTTCTGGAGTGGGGTCAATGCCAGTTGGGTTGTGTGCACAGCCATGAAGCAACACAAACGATCCATTTGGTGCTTCCTGTAAGAAAACGAATTTGATGATGATACTAATAATAATTGGAAAACGGCTTGATATATGAAGTATAAAATAAAAAGATCAGCCACGTCTGTCAGATCCATTAATTTCAGCATGACAAATTTGTCCGGTTGTCACTCATCAAAGACATATGCCTTTGATCATGGATTTATAAATGACCATCACAGCATGAGTTAGAGCTGTCCACCGCCTTCCGATAGTAATAATGTAGCGCAAGTAGAAGTGCCAACGTTTGGGTGATATTTTCCAGTGATGAGTGTGCATTTTGGATTCTTATACATTTACAAGTGGCTATCAAGATTGGATTCTTTCAAGAGTCAGAAAAGATAGTGGTAGAATCGGAAATTCTAAATCCTAAGTATTCATCATACAAACATGATGAAAGTAAACTAATTATTAGTTATCACATATCACTAATGAATAAAAAATCACATATTTGATTCCTTGAAGGAAGTTGCAAACATAATGAGCAAAAGGCAATCACATGTAATGTACATCTTGAATAGTGCTGACTTACATCTGATATTCAGAAAGGTCTATAATCAAAAGAAATAGTTCACAAAAAGGGTGAAAGGCTAAAATAACCTTGATGTCGGAGATCATCCCTTCAAAATCCAAACCAACAGTTTTGGGATCATAATAACGATACTCAGACCATGGAACTCGTGCATCATTAAATATATTCTTGTGGTTCCCTGCATCGAAATAAATAGTCTGACTACTAAAATCCTATCCAGGAAGCTTCAAGAGAATTTTGACAAATACCCCATGTTGGAGATGATATCAAAACTTTAGAACCAGGAAAATATCTCTCTATGAATGCTGCAGCAAGCCGCAGAGACCCAGTTCCTGAAAGACCCTGCACGGTGGCAACCTACACAAAGATAGTGCAATTATAATATGATTCAGGTTCTACTTCGGATAAATAAAAAAGCAAAAAACAAAAATAAAAGATAGAACTTTTCTCACTCTTTGTTGTTGAATAACAGCATTTTCAGCACCAAATAATAACTCTGCCGTGACCTTGTTAAATGCAGCCAAACCTTCAATTGGTAGGTACTGCAAAAATTTTATATTCTTTCATCAGTCTACACTAACAAGAAGACGATGATATCTAATAGAATTTCTCGAGCTCATGTCTCAGGTACCTCTTTGTTTTCACCACGCTCCAGCATAAGATTTTCTGCCTACAAAATATTTTAAGCAAATGTTTAGGCATAAATATTGCTCCTAAAAACATACTCAAATAAATACAAAATAGGACTGTAGTCTAGTACATGAGTGTTCAGAATTATTATTAGAATATGACTGTTCTCTCCAAAATTGAGTTAATATTATGTTCCTTAAGCTAGAATTTTGAATTATAGGTTAAACTTAATGTTATTTTTTATCGTTTCAGTGGGACACTACAACGCTTTCAACTGTGACAGTTAGAAGCAGACCATTCGACACGATCAAGAATAGATTAGAAGCAACAAACATACTTTCTTCACAACATTGAGCACATAGGGCTGAAGTTCTTCAGTTCGATAGGCACCCACACCAAGATTAAGCTTCATTTCATTTGTATCTGCCCTGAATGCTTCAGAAACTCCGAGAATGGGGTCGGGAGGAGCCATAGTTATGTCATTAAATCTGGAAGTCTCAACAGCTACACTCATGCGTGCCCTGGTGAAAGACTGCAACAAAAACAGCACGATCAATCAAATAATACAGGGGATAAATGTTGTCATACAATTCGATTTCCTCAAAAGAAATGCGCTGTTTAAGCTTGAGAACCCCTAGGAAATAACTAAGAATGAACTATTTCAATCGAAACTAACACTACACAACCAAGGATTCGACATTTTCGTAACTAAGAAGCAACCACATCACATTACGGCAGTACAATGTTCGCCCTCCAGCGATTAACATACCTTTGTCTTAACAAATTCTTTCCCCAGAAATGTAGACTGGTTGCAATTTCCGAGCTTCGGATTTGCCTGAAAAAACAACACAGATCACATTACACAATCCAACAAACTAGCCATTTTCCGCCTGCTAAAATATCCCTAATTCGCCAATACAGACAGTACATTAAACAACGATGGGAAAGGCGGCAAATTCGGCACACTAATTGGATTCAGAGAGGTTGATTCTTACCTTGAGATTGGCGGCCACGGAGCGCGAAGCGAATGGCGGAGCAGAAGCAATAGATAGCAGGGCGGAATCCATAGCTTTACCTTGAGGATCAGATACACAGTTCAGTTGGGTCAGATCGGTGGCAGAGAGCAAGAAAAGGAACGGAATTGCAATCTAAAAATTAATGAAACCGACCACGGCGCAGTAGAAACAGCAAATCAGGCGCGTTCTTGAGTGACCTAGCAGTACAGTTGGGACAGCAGCAACGGCAGTAGAGGACAGGACAGGACAGGAAGGAAGATTAGATAACGAGCTGACGGATGAAGAGAGGGAGGGAGTCCTGTCTAGCGATGGCGATGTATTCTAAAGGCCTGTTTGGTACGGATATAATATTGATTATTTTTTATTTTATTTTATTTTATTATTTTTTTTTTCTAAATCAATATCATAATTATTAATTGGTCATATTAAAAAAAATTTATCAATTTTAATTTATTGACTGAGACTGAATGCAGTCTTAATCAGCAATACAATCTTGTTGATTACTCTCCACTTTGAATATATATATATATATATTAAATAATTTTAACAAATATATAAAAATAATAATAAATATGACCTAGTTTATAATTATATTGAAAATAAGAGCGTGAACATTGTTGTGTTGAGGATATAGTAATAAACATGTTGTACCGAGAACAAGTCATTAACATGAGTATGAACACGGAAAGGAATACAGGCGTGTTCAGAAGTATAAAGTAATCAACACGGTCGTGTTAGCTGTTTGGGATGCTCAGTCAGCCTTCTAAGTCATCTAACACGGCTGTGTTCAATCCCAATCAACCATCATGTAAATAAAATTGATAAATTTTAATTTAAGTGGGACCAAAATTGATAAAAATAATTCAATTTGACCTTGATAATTATGCCATGTTCAGTCCAGTCCATGGTGGAACTAAAATTGATAAATTTAAATTTGAATGAGACTAAAATTGATAATAATAAAATTGAATATGATCAAAATGAGTTTAGCTTTTAGCTCTAAATAGTGTGGCAATGTGTTTGTTTGGGGCATTTGATTTAATTTTCACTATTCATCTCATTTTTCCCCCCTCCAAAATATCAAATTAAACACCTATTTTTAATTTTTTATATTATACTAAAAATCAATTTTGCATTCAAAATATCACATTAACACATATTTATATCACATCGTACAACTATTTAAATTCAAAATTTTTACTATTCAAATCTCAATTCAAAATCCAAACCCCCAAACAAACACACCCTAAAAGTTTTTATTTTATTTTTTAATTCAAATTAAAATTTTCTTTATTTATCCTATAGCTGTCAGAACTTGTAGTGGGATATATTTACCACGCAAAGTCTATAGCCTATGGCACTAAAATAAGAATTTGGGCCAAATCTAACTTACAAAATTGACATTGCTACAATCCAAAGTCAATTTTGATAGTTGCACTAATTTTCATTTCTTCGAATTGATCATTTTATTTATTAGTATTATTATATTTTTAAAGTTAAAATGAATTATAAATATAAAAAATAATTTAAAATAATATATAAAATAAAATACTTGAATAATATTGTTTTTAGAATAAAAAATATAGTAGAATAAAAATATTATAGTAAACCCAATTCAATTTACCAGTGGACGGGCTAAACCTACGAATTTTTTTAATAATATTAAAAATATATATATATATTTTATAATCAATATCTGAAAAATAACTATAGTGATATACTTCAAATAATAAATATTTATAAACAAATAGCTAATTTAAACTTATTCAAAATTTCAAATATTATTGATCTGTATATATATTTAAAATAATTGATAATAAGTAATAATTACTTTTATAGTTTTAAAAATAAATTGTAAAAAAAAAAAATTACTCCCTCAGTCCCAAAACACCCTGCAACATTTCCTTTTTGGTATATCTCAAACACACTGCAGTATTTTCAAAATAAGAAATAATTAATTACACTTAATCTCTATCCCACACTTTATTCTCTCACATCATCCAAATAAAAAAATAAAATATATATTTCTCTCTCCATCACATCACCTAATTTATAAATTATGTTACTTAATATTACCCACCTAAAAACACGTGTCAAAAGCAAATGTTGCACCTTATTTGGGACGAATGGAGTATAAGATAATAAATATTTATTTTAATAACATAAGTTCCTCTGCCCTTCAATACCAGCCTCTCCTATACCCGCTAATCATGTAATGACACGTGTTTATTTATTATTTTATTTTTATTAAAGTTTTAATTTATGTAAATTGCACTTTAATCCTTCATTTATTAATATAATAAAGGATCAATACAAAATCAAATTGTATTAGCCATGAGCGTTAAGGATTCAACGATCTGAATGGACACTGTCTATCGTCGTAATTTCTGTGTGTGTGAATGGCTGATACAATTTGATTTTGTTTTGATCCTTTAATATATTAATAATTGAAGGATTAATGTGCAATTTATATAAATTAAAACTTTAATAAATATAAAAATAATAAATAAACATGTGTCTTACGTGGCCGATATAGGAGGGGTCCGAGGGGATGGTATTGCAGGGGCAAAAGAGCTCGATTTTAATAAATTTTTAAATTAAATATAATCAAATTTTAATAAAAATAACAAAATTTGGATTAAGTACATCTAAATTTTATAAGATTTTTAAAAATTTGAATTGAATATATCTAAATTTAAAGAATCCAATAAAATTTAATAAATTTTAGATTAAATACAACCATTAGTATATAACAATAAGTATATAATTTTGTTATTATTATTTTATTTTATTTTATTTTTTTACCTAAAAAAATACCAAAAATGGTATAAAGAACACTTAAGTGACCAAAAAAAAAAAAACCACAAATTTAGATGAAAATATTATAGTGTGATTCTTAACTTTTTTTCCCTCAAAAACAGTAAATTAAACACATATTTTTTATTTATTTTATTATATTAAAATCTAATTTTACATTCAAAACATTACATCAATACATATTTATATTACATCAAACAACTATTTCAATTCAAAATTTTACTATTCAATCTATATATATATGTATTTATACTAAAGTTTTATTTTAATTCATTAATAAAAAATATGTGATTTATTCATTTAATATTTTTGTTAGAATGATTCTTCATGAACATTAGAAAAAAATAAAAATTACAAACATATTTAGTTTCTTCACTTATCATTTTTTAATGAACAATTTTACATAAATATTATTAAAAAAATATAAATATATAGACAGATTAATATAATATATATCAAAACCGTTCATTTTTTATATTGCCAACATAGTTTCTCATACAACACATAAAAAATCAATTCATCTAACAATTATCAATTAACAAAAAATAAAAAATTCAACATAAAATTTTATTTTTATATTATCAAAATAATTCTACATATATAACATAAAAAATAAAAAGTAAACAAACCCATTAATTTAAATACTACATATTACAAATATGTAATAACTATTTTTTATGGGTTAACTGATCCGAACCGATTCGAACTAGTTTTAGACGGTGATGGACCCGAATCAAGCTTATTTGGTTATAAAATATTAGACCCAAAAAAATTCACTTAATGACCCAGGGCTAGGCTACCTATTTTTAACCGGTCCCGGTCCTTGGCGTTAAACAGGGTTGATTCGGTTAGGACCGTGTCAGACCGATCCACTGGACAATTAATCTCAATCAATCTAATTTCAAATCAAAATCAAACAAACGCTTTTGAATATGATTTTTTTTTTTGGAGTTTGAATGATCATATTTTTCAACTTATATATTTTTCTATAAAAATAATAATACTTTTATAGAGTATTCAAAATATTTGTTCGTTATATTTGTTATATTATGATATGAGTACTTTTGTATTATTTATTTATTTTTGTATTACTTTTTACATATATAATTAATTTATCTACTTCTCAACGATATTTGTACAATTCATTAAAACACATTAATTAATTTTTATAAGAGAAAAATATTTTCTCAAACAAAAAAGAAATAATTTTTTAAAATAAAAATTCATATTTTTTCGATTTACATACTTTTCTGTAAATGTAATAATATTTTTATAAAGGATTCGAAATATTTGTTCATTATATTCCGATAAAAAAAAATACAATTTATCTCATAAAAAATGACGTGAAGGTGTGAGATGGACTTGCGACCGTAAGATCATGAATTCAAAATATCGTCACCTCCAGGTCTTGCTACAATTAGTGCATGCAATATAGGTAAACAGACGAAAAAAATTGATAGAATAAAAATGAATAAATTTGTAAAAATAAAAAGTAAAGCCCTATAATACACTTATTTAATTTATTCTATCATTTTATTTTTATTTTTATTTTTATTTTTACCTACACTACATGCACTAATATAGTCACTGTGACATAAAATTGCAGCAAATTAAACAATATGATTTATGAATAATACATTGCGGTTGACCATAGAAATGCATCATAAATCATAATATTGTTGTACACATAATCAATACGTGTACATAAATTGATGCATTTAATCAAATTAGCGTAGAGGCTACGTAGAGGTCTTGTTGGCAATTTCATAGCCATCTGTTATCATCTCCCTTTAGTATATATATATGTGTGTATGTTTCACAATGTAAAAGGAAGTGAATGCATAAAGGAAACAAACATTTACAATTACTCCACCAAATCCTCTAGTTAACAATAATACATATATTTATATATACATATATTATATAATATAATATATATACAATAGCCTACATACTACATACATATATATACCCACTCACGCACACACATCTATATATATATTTACTTATATATTACATACAATATATAATATACAAAATATAAAATAATGGTTAGCGGTAGAAATAATTAATATTTCTATTGGCTAATCCTATAATAATATTACAACACGTTATCAGCACGATTATATATTTTAATTTTCGCAAGGTAATATTTCATATTTTATCTGTTTATTATGACTAACCTTGCCAAACAGGAATTTCTCCCTCTCCTCGTTTCTGGCCAAAATTATATGGCATGAGCTCGCGATGTTAAAATGCATCTGGCATCAATGAGCTTGGAAAATACTATTGCCCGGGATAAAAACTCCCCGAGCCAAGATCGTGCAAAGGCCATGATCTTTTTGTGCCATCACATCGATGAGGCACTGAAAATGCAGTATGTCACGCTGGAATCTCCGCTTGAATTGTGGGAGAGATTGAAAGAAAGATATGACCATTTGAGGCTGACATTGTTGCCAAGGGCACGAAGCGAATGGCAAAGCCTACGGCTTCAGGACTTTAA